AGAAAATAGAAGCACTCTTAAAAGAAACCGTATCTTTTCTTCATACTGACAAAAACGATGGGACAAATGTAGATCCCTGTATGTCTTTGATAATCCTACAATAAACACGTTTCGAAAAGAATATTTTTATTTTAATGAGTTGATAGGGAATTTTCTTTTCTTTTAAACTGTTCATGACTTATACTTGTAACACATTCGTAAAAACAATGACATAAGAGAAAAACAGAAAGACCGATGCAATAAATTTTCTAATTTTTTTCTATGAATTACTCAAATATCACTTGTTCGATTAAAAGTAATTCAATTTTTGCGAATTCATTGGAAATATCTTGTAAAATGACGGTTAATTATAATTAATTGTCATGTACAAGATATCTTTGACGAAATGTTATAAAAATTCTAAATTTATTTTGTGAATGTTTCTATTTTTTTTACTCGTTTTATCATTTGTTATCTCACCTACGAAAACTCTATTCAGTAGAATTTTCATCGAACGTTCTATCATTACGTTTTATGAAAAATATCTAAAGCTTGGTATCAAATTCTTTTCTGTTTCGTAGACAACGACTCTCTAATCGTTTGTCAACATATGATCAGAATTTCTTTCTAGCAAAAATATTCAAACACAAGATTAACTTCGAATGAAGACTTGTTAATTGTTGTAGCGATCTAAATGATTATAGAAATTTGTCTCATCATGAATCTGAGATTTCGAGTGAATCAATTTAAACTTGGGGTTTAGAATGATTAAAATGCTTTGAATAGTTTCAAATATTTAAATAATTGTCCAAGTATTTCTAGAGATTTGTACATCGTCACACAAGCATTTGAAGGTTCAGCTTTGCATTTAGACATTTTGAGATATTGTCGAAACTTTTAAGAAATCTATTTGAGCATTTCAGCTTGCCTAACATTTCTTTTTCAATGTGTTCAAATTAGAGATTGACGTGACTTATGGTTACGGTCATTACTCTGACTATGATAGGTTCTCCTTTTATTAACTAAACGAAAATAACTGAATTTGCACGTTCGAATCGAATGTTCACGAATATAAACAACTGTTGCAGATGTTTATTTGAATTTAATTTTAGTAATTTCTCATGATTTTGATCTGGCTAAATTATCATTACTTGATAATGTTCAATTAATAAAATCTAAAACTGAATTAATTGATAATTTACTTGAAATCGAAATAGCTTATTCAATGTTAAATGAATCAAATAATACAATAGAAGGTAATGAACATCCAATAGATGTTTATTATAAAAAATTCAAATGTGCTCTTGAACCAGTTGATCATCATTCAGAAGAATTTAAACTTATTCAAAAATATATGATCAATACTCATGCTAAAACTCATGATCAATATATATTAAAATTACGTGAATTATTTAAAACCACATGTGAAGAAGAATCTGATCGTTTTGAAAAATTTCAAACACTTGATAATCATCAATTATTATGGCATGGATCAAGAACAACTAACTTTGTTGGTATTTTTAGTCAAGGTTTATGTATTGCTCTACCTGAAGCACCAGTTGTAAAGTTTTTATTCTTTCAAATTAATAAGATTTTCTTTCAAAAATAATATTTTTCAGACGGGTTATATGTTTGTTAAAGGTGTTTATTTTGCTGATATGGTTTCAAACAGTGGTAAAACATTTTTTTGTTTATTTGAATCGATTTTAAAAAAATCATTTAGCAAATTATTGTTTTACAACAAAACAATCTCCCTGATGATTAATGCTTTTATGTGAAGTTGCACTTGGAAAAATGTATGAATATTATAAAGCAACTAATTTAGCTACATCAACATTATCAGCTGGTACTCATTCGACCAAAGGTTGTGGAGGATCAACAATGCCAGATCCAAAAGGTTTTATTTATTTTTGTAAAACAAAAATCTTTTAAATAAAATTTGATTTTGTTAAATAGAATTTTATTATATAAATGACAGTGTACTTATTCCAATGGTTCATGGAATTCCATCAAATGTTTGACATACTTTATTATTGTATAACGAATATATTGTCTATAATACCGATCAAATCAAAATGAAATATCTTCTGCGTGTTGATTTTCAATACAAATATTAATTAACTATTTCTTTTATTTTTCTCTTGTTTCTTTAACAACAATTAATTCTCTATTTTCTTATCATTTGTGTTGTGACAAAAAAACAAAGAGAAAAAACATGATTATAAAAGAATATCTATTCTTTTCTTTTCCACTTATTTTTCCTATATTATTTTCTTTATTATTGATTGATTCCTGTGACTATATATTCAGAATAAACGATGAAAACAAAAATTTTCTTTTTTTATTTGCTACCGAAATAGAAAACCTGGGATCATTTAATATCTATTCGTGAATGACATATGTATATATCATTAAGAACGAACTCTGATTAGATCCGTTTGCAGAGCTATAAAGCTATTCGATGCATACGGATAAAATCGTTAGTAGGAAAATACAACGAAGGTTTATCTCTTTTTTTTCTTCGCATTCAAAACAAGATTATCAGACTACAGACGGTAGATTTTCGACGATCTTTAGAAAGAATCATCTAAACCGAAAATTTTTGATTAGCTGTTTGATATACATAACCTGAATTGACATACTTTAAACTAGTGGCGTAACCAGGAAATCGTGGGTGCCTGGGCGGTGCCTCACAGCCTTTAAAAAAAGTTATTCACAATAGTTAAAATTTTCTCCGATGCTCAATCGAGTCTCTCTACTTTTGCTTTTCTAAAGAAAGAAACAAAACAATCTATCTTTTATTTTACCAAATGAGGTTAAGCCATAAGAAAGAGAAAACTATCAAACAAACAACAGCTATTTAAGAATTATTCGACTGTTCTTATGCTGGATATATTATGTTGCTCTATATATATTAAAAAATGTTTACTATATATATTAAAAAATGTTTATGAATAAAAAATTCCATGTCATTACTATTAAAATTAGTTCACGTATGTTTAAAATTCAACAGCAACTAATCACATGGTACATATATCTGTTCTCTATTTAGAGATACAACAACAACAACACATATTATTAAATCACTAAATGGTGGTACAAAATTATATTGTTGGTCAGTCTGATCATACACGTTGATACAATTGACACAAATGGTCGTCAAATAAAATCATATCGTCATTACTATCATACAAAAACTCTTATGATAATATGAAAATTAAAATTAAAAAAAAAAAACAATTCCATTTTGATTTTAAAAAACATCTATATTTATGTTCTGATGATGGCCTTGGTTATGGCTGAAAATTCAACAAATGATATACATCTATAATGAAAATATTAGATTAGTTAAAAATTGTCCTATGATGAATACGTCGATTGTCGATTTATCTGTTGATATATTATGTTGCTCTATATATATTAAAAAATGTTTATAAGTTATTTACTATATTCTTATCATCTTTTGATGAACAAGAGCATAAGTTTTTTCTTTCAATCAAGTAAATACAAAAAAACATCTGAATAAAATGAGAAAATAAACGTTTTTCAGTTGCTAATGCTTCATTTTGTTAATGCCTCATTTGATTTTTTAATTGATTGGTGTGTTAATAACGATCCATTTAAATATAAATTCACCATTGTAGGCATAACATCACTGATGAAGGTAATGTCTTGAGGAAAATCCATTTGCAAATATTCAATACATCGTCGGGTAAATGTTTGACAATTTAATGTACTTGACCATTTAGCACTTCCATTTAATCTACATAACGCAACGTGCACATTTGAAATCAGCCGATGCTCGATTTCTTTTGCAAAATGATTTGGCGTAGGAAATGCTTGAATATCAGCTAGTGGAATCTTTCCAACTTTCTTCACTAAGAAATAATGATCCCATGTTCGAATTTTAAACATAGAATCTATATAAGTCGTATGATCAGTTAAGCTCGCCACGTACAGGTCAATATGAGTCGCAACGAATTGAGTTGTTGTCGACGATCCTATAATAATAGTTGATAAAATTAAACATTAAAAGTATTATTTTCAATACCAGTAACATCAATGGCTACCGAAAAATGTTTTCTTTTTTCGGTTTCATATTTGTTATCTTCTTCGTTCGGCTTATGTATCACAATATAAACTGAACCAGCTTCTGTAACATCGTTGAATTCAACTGGACAAAGCATATCAGGTCGAGATATATTAATTTTGTCAAATCTTATTCCCATATAAATTCAATTAAGAATTAATTTAATATCTATAATGAGAAAAGAGTACATATAATATTCATTAAGAACAGTTTTTTTCATTACCTAATATCAAAATTTTCTGAATAAATAATGTTAAGTCACGACAACAAAAACAACAAATTTTCAATCTTTATAGTTATTGATAACAAAAACGAATGAACCCTTAAACAATAATACAGATGTCACACTTCACAAAATATAAAAGCCTCACAATAATGCACTTATTTTTTACTTCATCAAATTTTTTTTTTTTTTTTCTAGTATCTTTCTCTCTTCTTCTGAAAAAGAAGAATAATATGTTAAGTTTATTGAATAATAATCATTTGAAATTGATCTTAATCAACTTCGAGTAAATAATATATATAAATTTAATTAATTTATTTTAATTGAATAAAATTGTTTTTAAGGATCCATCGGGGATGTTTGAATTGATCGAAGTTGTTGAGAATAGAAGATATCGACAAATTTATAAAGTTACTGACTGAGATAAAAAACAACAAATTCATATGATTGATTAGAAAAAATAGCGCGCTATTGTTTCAAGTATAAAAATATTGTAATATTCAACAGTAAGTTTACTTTCAAAACAAGAAATAAAAGTAACAAAGATAATCTTAATCTAATCGATATCTGATTTATATGGAAAAAAAGAAACAATCATCAATTCATATGATTCATTTAACTGAATCATCAAGTAAATTTTTTCATGATATTCCAAATCCATTTGAACGACGTCAATTTGCTTTTCGAGTTCTACCC